TAAGGGGGCTTTAAAGTGACCACTTACGAAATTGATCATCATAACAAATCATATAAATCAGTTCTTGTCCAATATTTGTTACGAAAAGGCTGCGCAATCTTTAAATGTGTTCTATCTATAATACAGTAAAGAGATGCATAAGTGTTCTATTTTTAACTTATTAAAACCCCCACATTAGTATTTAATTTTAAGGGTACTTAAATATGTACAAAAGAATTTTATGTAATTATAATGTACAATAAAATCAGTGAGAATAATACGAAAATATCAAATGTCAAGGCACCCGGAAACTTCTGGCACCACGCAAAGTAGACGGCTTCTCTGCACTTTGCATCTCTTATGCAATGGTCTGTTTAACTACAGCACAACACATAATTTGCTGCGCTTACCAAGAAATTAGTGAAGCGAGAACCGCATCGTTTACCTCACAACTTCAGAGGACCGTCCGCCGTCATGCCCAATCGTCAAGCCCAAATAATCACACCTCATCTTGATAGCCAATTCGGGCATTTTGCCAAAAATAAGCAGTCATTACTCTGCTGAATGATGAACAACAACTAAACCTGCTTGGTGATTGAATGGGAACGATGATAACATAGTTGATGTCAACGGTGACCAAATGGGAATCGCACTCTCCACACTACTGCAGTGTGTTGAATACCTTGAAAATTCATCGACTGTCGGGACGTGAAATGATCTGCATTCTACAATATTTCAGGCTTTCAGCGTGCTCTAGGACATATTTGATTTCTAAAATTGGTTGGTTAATTCAAAGCCTTAACATTGACACGCCAAACTCTACTCGCCTGTTGCAAGTGGGTCAACGTCAACCTTCATTTTGTAGCCTTCGCTGAAGATAACTTAGTGAAAAAGTGTCAAAGAAGAGATTCCAGTCAGCCTCTAGTGTCTGATGCATAGCGGTAGTTACAGAACTTCCATGGATCTATCGAGAGTGCAGCCATGCCAATATTTCCACCTCATTCTTGCACGGTTCAAGCAGCTACTGCTGGAATTTACGGGCCGTGCAGATGTCAAGGCACTGTAGTGAGTTCAACAATCTGGATCATTCTACAACCCTCGCCATCCGTCTTAGGCTACAAGACACCGCATCTAGCTTTGGTGCAAAGCATTGCAACACGCAT